TAGGGCTAAGGGCCAGCCCTTTTAAGCTTGCCTATTATTATTATTATTATTATCAATATATTTATGCAATTAAGGATCAATCTTTTATGAACAAGTTTGAACAAAAAGAATATGTAGAAGAACCAAATACTTAAACTAGATAATTCAAAAGAATTAGATGTCTTGGACTGATAAAAGAACAATTGAAATCAATTTTCAATTCTTTAAAAAATGCCAACTGATATTCTTAGCATTCCAATCATTACAGTAGCTAGTAACTCTTCTTTTGCCATCAGTTTATATGTCTTAACAAAGTATAAAATTTTTCTTATTCTAACAAATGTTTAGGCTCTCATTTGCACTCATAACTATTGTATTGTTTTATTTTAGATAACGGTAATGAAAACAAAAATATTGATATTTTTGTCACTAAAGAAGAATTTACTTGTAGTAAAAAACAATCAAATATTGTTAATTATGATGATAGCGATAAAGACAAAGATGAAGATAACAATCGTGTTGTAAATCTTTAGCCGTTAGGTTTCTATCTTTCTATTTTTCTTGTTTCATTAAGTTTTGATTTTTTGTTATGTACTGTTTTGGACAATATTTTATCGGTATTTAATTTTTTTATGCATTATTAGTTTATTTTACTAATATTTATGATTTGAATAAAAAATTTAGAAGTTTTATTTTTTTATTTTAAAATAATTGAAAAGGATTTAAATTTTGAAAAATAACATAAAAAGGCTAGCCCCTTTAAATCTATGTTCAAAAACTGGGCTTTAATAATTATATAATTTTAAGATGTGTAGAAAATTATTGAAGTCATATAATGCTACTAATTACAAGTCTTTGATGGGAGATATTTAATTTCTTTCTTGGATAATGAGCATGATCCTCCACCATCCATTTCTTATCTTTTAGCTACGCTCCATTTTCTCAAAAAATCCAAATACCTCGTTCAATTTGCTACAAGAAAGAGCTCCCACTCTACACGTTCTATTGATATTACAAATACCGTGTTGAAAGGATTTGCAAAGCATCAAAGAACAAGTAATTGTTGACTGAATTTAGAATTTAACATGTTTTTTTATATTAACTAACTTATTAAGAATTCAACAGACTTGAGGTAAATTCAATAACTGTGCAATGGACCAATAGTTAAAGTCAATATTAATATAGGATAAAAAAGCTTTTTCGGCCAGTTGCATATTATTTGTTTCTTTTTATTTAAGTTGGTAGATATTAACTGTATGAGATTACAAGTGAGATCGGACGGGAACTTCCAGTTACAAGAGAAACTTTCAGTTGCTGAAGCAGGAATTAACCAAGATGGGATAAACAAAGAAATATCATAAATAAACCTTGAAAGCAACTGTGTTGAGAATAAATAATGGGAATAAAAGAAATTGACTTTGTTGGACAATATCAATTTTTAAATGATGGTTAATATATAATATTTTGAGATTAATATATAACATAAATTTAGGATAAATGAGTAGTCAGCACCCAGAACTATTTCGAAAATTTCAGTCTACACCCTAAATTATTTAGTATTATAGTGCAATTTGGCTCCTAATGTAATAAAATTGGTTTATAAGGGTGGCCTAAATTTTAAAGGGAAAATTTCATTAAGTTTTTATTCATTCTCTGCCATAGAAATGCTTTAAAAAAAGTTATTTTCAAAAAATTTATTTATTGTTTCCAAAAAATTTTTTATCAAAAGCACAAATTAAATTTTTTCTCATTTTATGAGAGCCGTAAAAGTACATTTCTCTCCATCTAAACATATGCCTAAAAGCGATATAGTTTCAACTCAAAGACTATCGAAAATTTTGACATTTAATTGGTTAGTCTATACAAATGATTTTTTTAGGGTGAATTGCATATGAATTATAAAATAAAAGAACCAATTAATTAAATGTCTCAAATTTAATATATTGAGATACACTAATAAATTAAACGTTAGGAATTGAGTTGGAATTCAGTGAATCTTAGAATGACTGAATAATTAACTTCGCCAAACTAAAATAGACCAGTGCAAGAAAAAAACAAACCCGGGTAGAAAATTAAAAAAAAAAAAAAGAAGAAAGAAAGAAAGAATTTCACTATCTATAATTAAAGAAGGAAAAAAGAAAAGCAAAAAGAAGACAGAAAGAGATGGAGGCAACTAACATGATTGCGTGGCATTTTCTTTTTCTCATGACTGTTTTCTCCAAGGAACCAAAATAATCTGATTAGGCACTAAACCAGTTGAAAAAGTGACTCAAGAATCAATTAGTTGAACTAGGATCAATTTGGAGACAAACCGGTTATATTAAAATACTATAATTTAATTAAAAATAATAAATATAACAATATTAGTAATCACTAATAATAAAATACAAAAAAATATAAAAATAGTTTAATTGTAACAATAACAAAATACAACAACATTGAGAATTTTAATCTTTAAGATTTACCAGTAATTAAAGACTTCTTTGGTGCATTTCGCACACTATATGTGAAAAGAATAAAAATATTATTTTTTAGTTATCAAAACAGGAGCAATTTTTTCCTTACAAAAAAGACTGATGTTAAAGACTTCTTTGGTGCATTTCACACACTGTATGTGAAAAGAAAACGAGGAAAAGAAAAGAAAGGAAAAAAAAAAAAATAGAACATGCATCGAAGTTTCAGGAAGAAAGTGACACATTAATATTTTATGATATTTATCACCAATAATTAAGTTTTCTCTTTATTTGTTAAAGACTTCGTCTGCTTGGACTTTGTGTCCTTTAACTTTAATTTCTTATTGTCAATCTTTTTTTTTTTGTTGCCCACCCAATTAACCAGAGCTTTACTCCGACTACATCTGAATCCGACCCGCGTCGTGCACCGGCTGTGGTGGGTGAGTCTCCCAATAGGGATTTCTGCATATGCTGAGGCTCGAATTCGAGACCTTACTTAAACGGTACCAAGCCACTTACCACTTAGACCAACTCCTGTTTGTCTTATTGTCAATCTTTGTTTCCTTGTGTACACTATTTTGAATAATAAAACTTCTTTCACTCAAAAAAAAAAAAGACTTCCTCTGCTTTTACTCAATCAATTGTAGAACATTAAGAATTTATGATATAAGAGTCAATCAATGGTTTCTTAACTAACTAGATCATTATTTTCTTGAAAAATATTTATATTAAATACGAGTAAAGTTGAAAGTTATTAAATTTAAAACAGAGTTAATAAGATTTATTTTTTTAAAAAAGTTTTAGTAAAACATATTAAAAATGACTTATAAGTAGAAGCAGATGCTTTGTTGTTTGAGTTGTTTAAAATGTTAGGGTGCAATCATAATATAAATTTTCTGAATAATGTAAAGACGAAATATTAAAAAGTAGAATACATAAATGATACTAGCTCTAGTTTTAATTATAAATTTTTTTTATAGATTATAAATAAAATTTTATAATTAAGACCGGTGAAAAGTAATATTAAATATAAAACGGGTCAATAATGAATGGTTTTGCACTTCATTTGGTAGGCCTCATAGAAAAACCCATTTCCACACGGTTATCCTGAATTAGTCACAGCTTTTGCGTGTCGCACGGTAGATGGTGATGACTTATAAATACACACACACACATATATTACAAGACTAGGTGTGCCAAAAAGTTGGTTCAAAATAATACATGTATACAAATATTTTTATTTTTAAAAAATAATCTTATTTATGTGGCGAGTGGGTGAGAGAGAAATAGAAAAAAGATGTGGAATCAACGCATTTATATAATATGTTATTAATGATGTAAAACTAAAAAATAATACTAGAAATTTCAGTCATCCTATTAAGATTTCTTATAAATAGTATTATATCATCCTCAAAAAATTCTTCTTATATAATTAGAGTGAGTATAATAAAAATGAACCAACGATGGAAAGGGTGTATCGCTAAAAAGTTTTAAAACAACCCATTCGACCTTAATTTTGTTGAGTACATTGCCAGGAGGGGCTTTTTACGAAAACTAATAATTTTTTCTAAATGTATTACAAATTAAATAATCAATTTAATTTAATTATTTAATCTATATAAATTAGCTAACTAAATCCTATATTTAACTATTTTAACATTTTAAAACATTTTTCAACAATAAATTTTGTTCAAAAGATCGCCAAGAAAGGTTCCTAATTTTTATAATATTTGCAAAATCGTTACATTCATGATTAATCCAGAAATTGACACATTTTGCATTTTATAATTTTTTCACACATATTTTTCTCGCCAACAATATTTTGTCACATATTATTTTTGATTTTTTTTTCACAGAATGATCATCCTGGTCTAGCTATTGAACTTCTAAGTTGATTAACATTCAATGATTTTACTGATTGTAGTCATTCAAAATTATTTGTTCTCCGTTTGAAATATGTTCAAGTATAAAATTGACAAGATGGGTGAACTTTAATAATTTTATGCTATTAAATTTATATTTTACCCAAAAAAGGTTTTAAATCTATATCCTTGGCTGCTTATATCAATGGCTTTGTTTTGTTTTCAAATTTTTATAATATTATAATTAAATAAAAAGTCCAAAGGTGTAAGTAGACGAAAGGAGTAAGTATAGTTTTTTTTCCCAAAAAAAAAGTTTGTATAGACCAGACTAGCTGGCGGCCAAAAAGAATTGAATAGTTCAAAATTTAATTTCTTTCTTAAATGAGCCTATATTTAACAATTTCAATAATCAATGTAAATAAGCAACAACCACATTAACGCATCATTGCAATTTGAAAATAAATTGCTTTTAGTTTGTTAGTGCTCACGGTACTTTGATGTTAACCACATATTTTTCATCTTTTAAATTCTTTTAATATATAATTTGAACATAAAAGTTAAAGAAAACCACAAGTGAATAGTTGTTTGTTTTAAAAGTATACAGCTATAAATATGAGTTGTGTCTATTGAACAAACACCACACTTCACTTCTCGATAGAGATTCACTATATAGAAAATTCACTTTGCCTGAGCTTTTCTCATCGATATGGGAAGACACATCATATTAGGATTTGTGTTGCTTTTCTTGTTGTTGTTGGGGATTGCCCAATTAGGTTTGTGTGGAAGATGCATTGAATCAGAGAAGCAAGCTCTTCTCAAGTTCAAAGCATCTTTTCATGATGATTCATTTGAGAGCCTTTCCTTTTGGAATCCCCAAACCAATTGTTGCCAATGGGATGGCATCACTTGTCACAATGTTACTGGTCATGTTCTCAAAATTGATCTCAGTGACTATGTGCTACAAGCTACTGGCCTTGATCCATCTTTGTTAGAGTTGCAATATTTGATTTATTTGGATTTGAGGGGAATCAACTTCAATGCCATCTCGATTCCTGCCTTTCTTGGTTCTATGGGGAGGTTGAGATATCTTTCTATCTCTGGGTCTAATTTCATCGGGAAGATTCCTACCAATTTTCTTAGAAACCTCGCAGCATTGCAGTTTCTTGATCTCAGTTGGAATGATTTGGACATCAATGACATGAGTTGGATCTCTAAACTTCAGTCTTTGCAACACCTCAATCTAAGTAACGTTTACCTTGGAGAAGCTCACAACTTGTTCCAGGTACTTCACATGCTTCCTTCTTTGTCACAACTCCAATTAGAAGGATGTGGACTTGGCAACTTGTCTGCTCCTCTTCCCCCATTCAATTTCACAAATAATACTAGAGTTCAGGTCTTGAATCTTGCTCAAAATGAAATTGATGGTCAAATCCTTGATGTGTTTCTAAATTGGACTTTTGTTGAATTCCTTGACCTCAATTCCAACAATCTTAGTTCAATGCCATTATGGCTAGGAGAGTTTAGGAATCTGGTTTCTCTTGATCTTTCATATAATGTACTTTATGGACCCATTCCTATTGCTTTATCAAACTTGACTTCCCTTGAATACCTTGACCTTTCTGTAAACAATTTTAGTTCAATGCCATTATGGCTAGGAGAGTTTAGAAATCTGGTTTCTCTTGATCTTTCATCTAATGCACTTTGTGGACCCATTCCTATTGGTTTATCGAACTTGACTTCTCTTGAATACCTTGACCTTTCTCTAAACAATTTTAGTTCAATTCCATCTTGGTTGGGAGAGTTAAGGAGCCTTTGCTATCTACACATCTCCATGAATCAAGTCACAGCCACACTAGAAATTTCTGTGTCACAACTTTTAAAAAACATGTGCCGCTTACAAAAATTATATATGGAAGGTGGCAATTTTCAAGGAGAAGCATTTGGTGACTCTGATTTTTCTAGATGCATCAAATATGACATAGAGGAACTGTATTTGAGGAATAATAGACTCAATGGCCATCTGCCCACTTGGCTAGGGAATCTTGAAAAACTAACTACCCTTGATCTTTCATGGAATTATTTTTCTGGTAATGTTCCTCAAAGTCTTGGTCATCTTGTTAATCTAGAATACCTTTATCTCTCAAGTAATTCTTTTAGAGGCAATATTCCTCGAAGTCTTGGCCAACTTTCAAATCTATATGTCCTTGATCTTTCAAGTAATTCTCTTAGTGGTAATATCCCTCAAAGTCTTGTTCAACTTATAAATCTAAAATACCTTGATCTTTCAAATAATTCTTTTAGGGGCAACATTCCTCAAGGTCTTTGTGAGTTTGTAAATCTAACAACCCTTGATCTTTCTCATAACAAATTCTCTGGTGAAATTCTGAATTGTTGGAGATGTAATCCACAATTTAGAATAAGTGAAATAAATTTTTCATTCAACAAATTATCTGGTGCCTTCCCGGTCTCTGTCGGTGAGCTTTCTTCATTATTTTGGTTACATTTGAACAATAACCATCTTGAAGGGAAGCTTCCATTGACTTTGAAAAATTTGAATCAATTGATAATTTTAGATTTGGGTGTAAATAAGTTTATGGGAAGTATACCATCATCATGGACTAGTAACACTTTTCCTATCTTGCAAATTCTGAGGTTGAGGGATAACATGTTAGATGGTAACATTCCTTCAAATCTATGCCAACTCGGATCTCTCCAAATTTTGGACCTTGCAAACAACAATTTAAGTGGCTCAATACCCCATTGCATTGGCAATCTTACCAAAATGACCAAAGATAGTGTTGATATATGGGAATCATCCAATCCAGTTGTTATCAAGGACGTGTTGGTTAAGCAGTGGTATGATCAACATGTGGAACAAGTTATGAAAGGAAGAGAATTAGACTATACTAGAATCTTGGAGCTTGTGGTCAACTTGGATTTGTCAAATAATAATTTGGTAGGATCGGTTCCTCTTGAATTATTCTCGCTTGTTGGATTGATAGGCTTAAACCTTTCACACAATCTTTTGAAAGGAGAAATTCCAGAGAAAATTGGAAATATGAAACAACTTGAATCCTTTGATATCTCTTGCAACCAAATTTCAGGTGCAATTCCAATGAATGTGTCCAAGCTAACTGCATTGAATTATTTGAACATGTCATATAATAATCTTTCAGGGCCAATTCCAGCTGAAAATCAATTCTTGACTTTGAATGATCCATCTATTTATGCTGGCAACCCTTATCTTTGTGGAACTCCACTATCAAACAAGTGTCAAGGTGATGATACTCATCAAGTTCCTGAAACCAACAAGGACTTGGAAGACGAAAATGGTCCAGAAAAAGTGTGGTTTTATTTCGTTGTAGCAATTGGATTTGCCTTTGGCTTTTGGGGAGTTATTGGGACTTTAGTGTTGAAGAAGAATTGGAGATATGCTTGTTTCCGACGAGTGGAAGATGTAGCAGATGAAATATATGTGTTCACTTCTCCCAAAATTGCAAAGCTAAGGAGGCTGCTCACGAACCATGTCCATGGTTGATCCTTGTAACCATATGTATCTTTGTTATTATCTCTCTTGTTTGTATCACGTAATGTTTTAGTATGTTTGTAAAAACAATATTAATAAAGGGTTATTTCAATACATATACACAGTGTATGGTCTTCATTGTTTCACTATAATTGAATTAAATCTCCAATTAATATTCAATTCTTCAATTTATTGTTTGGTTATGAGATAGTATTTTAGTGCCACCTAAACTCATTACATGATTATTAAACTAAACTATATATGCTAATTCAAATATAGATCATATGAAGCCAATATATATTAGTAGAGTCCAAAGACTTAAATAAGTTATAAAGATGTCAATTATACATATTGTATTTTATTTGCAAATAATATAGATTTCTTATATTATTATCTAAGAACGTAAGTGCACTATATATTCTGGGTAATGTTACATAACGTGTGGAACCAGCGTAGTCGTTGAAGTCACCCAATAAAACTAAAAGACTGAAATAAATTCCAATTTCAAAGTGTTATGTATAATTTATTTCTGTTTTTTTTCCTAATTGCCAAACTTGTCAATTATAATCCTGGATTATATTGGAGACTTTTCTTCATCGATAATAAGTACAAGTCCATATGTACTCTTCTAATCCTTAATATAAGACCTATTTAATTAATTTGATTAAATTAAGAAAGTTATGTATATTAGTTAATTATAAAAAATATGACATGTTTTTCGTAAAACACTATAATTATCTTCCTTAATATCTTTTCTCCCTTTTCTACTTCATTATGATCGAGAAAATATCTATAAGGGTAATTTAGAAAAAAGTTAATAAATATAATAAATAGGTCTTATATTTAGGACCAAAATTAATTAAACAATTATGTCCTATATTAAGCACTGGAAGAATATGTAATTTACGCACCAAGTTGAACACTTCAATTTGAAGTGGCTATACAATTTTCATTGATAAATGTATAATTGGAAAATTTAATTCTACATCTTATTTTTTTCCAGAAACAAATTAAAGCAATATTACAATAATTCGAATGTCATTTTTATTTAATTATTATATTTTCAATTATCTAATATTGTGCGTGTCTTATAATCTTTTAAATTTTTGTTCTATTTTTATTTTGTTCTATCTTTCTCTCGCTAATAAACATCCTTATAATAGGTCTTCAATTGGAAGATTTTTGAGCCCCTCCTATTAAATAATTTGCAATAATTATAGATATTCTCGCAGTATCAAGTTATAAATTAATTTAAAGGTTAAAAATTGTCAGACTTTGAATAATAAGAATGGCGAAAATTAAATAAATTAAGAATTTTTATCTTTTAATGTGATTTTTTAATATATATTGAGAGGGATCAAAGTCTTGACCATCTGATTAAATTCGCATAAATGTATTTTCTTTCGTCAATGAAACATGTCTTTTTTATCTCATTCTTTCTACATTTGAATTTTTTTTTTTGTTTGCAAGAATATAAATGACATACTTGCTGGACACTCACGCTGTAATAATGTTCGCAAGTGTATATTGAGTTGTCAATGTCAACTTGTTCCAGTAATAATGCTACCCGTTATGGTTAAATAAGATTCTCAACTCAAGCTGAGCGTTGATATGTGCGTGCGGGTTTAAATCGTGTAAAAAGATATTTCATTTTTAGTCTTTGATTTTTACGCATAATTTCAATACTATCCTTAATTTTATATAATATTTTTTAATCACTCTCTAATTTACTAATTTTAATACTGTTAATTTATTAATAGACGTTGCTAACGCTACAATTTTGAATGTTGATAAAAATTCTTAAATGTGATATTTTGATCCCCTCTTTTTTTTTAAAAAAAACTTTTGACAATATTATGTTAGCAGTTAAAGTGGTAATATAATTTCAATTTATAACTGTGATTTGTGTTTACTGCTAACAATTGTCTGAATTGATATTTGTAATTTATCTTCACAAAATGTTTTGGAATAAAATTGTCCTTGATTTAGCCTTTCTTTTCTGACTTTAATGTTATTCGCCCTAAAAACATAAACTAAATATTCAATTATTTTTTATGAGAATAAATTACAATCTTCCTAATGCAAAAAACCCTTAAATTAACACAAATAAGTAAATTAAGAAATGAGACAAAAAGAAGCAAATCAAGCCCTGCATTATGACAGAAGCAGGATAAGTAGTCCCATCCGATTCTTCCCACTTGAATTTATCACACAAAATTATATTTTGCTTAAATTGATATTGTAATTTTTTAATATAATTCATTACATATAGAAGCTTTCACTTGGGATGGGTAGAAGAAAGACACAAGAACATCATAGCAGAGAGGTAGGGGATACACTTCTCATCAACATCAAGCTCTCTCGTGATATTAATTTGATAAGTATATTTAGTGTTTTCTTCTTGCCGGATATGCTTTTGTTTTAAGTAAGGAGTAAAAATTTCCTACTTGTTCTTTGTATATATGTACGATTTGTGCTCATGATCAACTTAATTTGTCCAAGGCATTTGAGTTTAAAGGGTAAGTTAATTGCGTATATAGATCTCACTGTGTTGGCAAGGTGCAAAGTGGTTAATTTGGTTAAAGTTAATTTATTTGTTGTGTATTAGGCACGTCACTATAGGTTTGGTAATTAATTGTTTAACCTATTACCAAACGAGTCTTGCTTATTTATTTGAAATTGGCGACAAATATAAGATTTTTTGACTGTTTTTTACCCAAAAAAAGTTGAAATATTTATAAATTTCTTAAAATTTTTAAAAAATACGACAATTTAATTGTTCTTTTAAATAACCATCAAATATTTGCCATGTTTATCCAACGGTCTACATAATAGTCATCAAATAAATCTTTGCTCAATCCTTGCTTGACGTTACTTGTCGGGCTTTTTTTTTTTTTTTTTTAATTAACTGATAGGCATGAAGGGTCAAGTAAGTCTAATTCTGTAACAGTGACAACAGTCTTGCTTAGTTATAGGACTGGGGTATTAGATACCTCCCTCGGCTGCACTCCTAGCCGCCTCTTAATTTTTGATTTCTTCCCAAATTTCTTTTAGTTTTTACATTATTAAATTCTACAAAAAAATAAGTGACATCACTATTAGAAAAAATAGTTTAACACTACTATTTTATAACGGTTAAAAGAACAAATGCCATAAAAAAATGCAGTAGTATTTTCGTAATTAAGTGCCAATAAATTACACTTTTTATAGTAGTTATTTAAAAAATCGCTGTGAAAGCCATATCCTCTAGTAAAAATAAAAGCGGAAACCTTTCAACTTACCATAGTGCAAACGCTGTGGTAAGCTCTTTTAACGGCAGCTTTTTACAATAATCATCGTAAAAAGTTTTTGAATTTTAACTAGAACTCTCGCGAGTTTAGTTTCATAGTTTGACCTTTTCTCCCAAACCTTTCTGTCATTGTGGTCCCCACCTTTGCCCCGCTCTGGACCTCAGTGATTTTAACGGTGATTCCCTCCGGCTTCCGATGTGACCAGCCTCTCCGCCGTCATCGCTGTCGAGTTCTCTCCATCGCCATCTATAAGTTTCTTTCTTTTCTTTTCTCTTCTCTTCTCTTTGCGATTTTTGCTCCTCTTTGGTTTTTTTCGTTGTTCTTAAACTTAAATAGACGATATGTGCTATGTTTCCAAGTGTTTAAGACTTGATTTTGATAGAGATGTTGGTTGTTTGATTGGTTCCTATTTGTATATAGTTTTTTATGCAAATTTTGAGTAATTTGTTATTGTGATTGGAACCTTTTGTTATTAAATAGCATGAATAGCCTTTTTACTTGTCATGGGTATCATTAAAATAGTTATGGAACTTTGGTTGTGGGATTATTTTTCATGTTATATTGGATTTGATATCTTGCGGCTAAAAATGGTTTAGTTTTCAATTATTTACAATTTTTTAAAGATTTAATCCTCAAAATTAAGAACAAACTGCCATTTAGTCTCCGTATAGGCATATATAGGCAGCAGCAAGTTGGTAGACAGGGCTACTAATAATCAACAAGAGCATGAAGCGGAAGAGGATTTTGGACACCAAAAAGCAAGAGAGACGGGTAGTGATATGCGGACTGCCTTGCTCACCGTCACCGTTCCGATGGCAACGGCGACCTATCAGGCGGTGCTGAGTCTGCCGGGTGACCTTTGACAGGAAGGCACTAACTCAGTTCCCACACATGAAGCCTGTCCATCTATCTTGGCCACCAAAAGGAAAGTTTCATTTGTGTTGTTCATAATTGGGAACACCATGGGATTTTTATTTCTCAGTGTACTTGATTGACGCCCTTACTGGTAACTTTCCTCGCAAGTTTGAGCTGAATTTCACCATGTTCGCACTTGGCATCACTTATCGTATATCTGTTTATACGATTACACCTCAGGAATATCAAAACGTGGGTTTTATCTCTATAATGATTGTTTTTCCCTTTATAGTATCCGCACTATGTCGATGTAAAGGCCCCATTCGTCGAAGCTTGGATGTAACAGTACTCGACGATGGAATTGATTGTACTGTGTCTTTTTTTTTGCTTTTGGAATGAAAAGGCAAGCACAGGCTTGAAGAAATTACAAACTAAAACGGACTAATCAACAGGTAATGATTGTACTGTGTTTTACTACCATCCGTTACTAAATATGTACGTTGTGTTTTCATTCTCAACTGTCTAATGCTTTCTAAAACAGGGAAATGGCCTCTAATTAATGACCCACTTTTTAATGCCACTTTAAATGTCCCAATCTTTCAACCCTTTTTTCTTTTTTTCTTTTGCCTTTCTATTGATCATTAGATTCTACATAAAATTAGTGATATTTTGACATTTACAGGCATGAAATGGTAAAGTTTTGAATTGTTTATGATTCTTTTAAAAAAAAGTAAATCAAAGTAAATCAAAGCTATCCAATTTTAGAGTATTTTTGTTTGAAAAATCGTTAAGGAAAAAAGAAATTCAGAATTACACCGTTTCATATCTAAAAGATATCAAAATGTCACTACTTTTATATAAAATCTA